GCACACAAACACTTGGATTTTTCATACAATTTCACACATACGCCTCTTCATACACTTGCACACAAACACTTGGATTTTTCATACAATTTCACACGTGCAACTTTCTATACACTTGCACACTTGCACTTTAGCCATCATTTGCATTAATCGACCTCTATAAGGTTTTCCTTTATTGGCCGCCACAACTCATGTGGTTGGGACCAAAAACCTTACAAGAGACATTTTAGAATTTAGGTTTGCATTTTTTCTTTCTTTTTGCATTCACGTAGTCATATCCAACATGCGATACATACCTTGGGTAGAAAAATTAGGAAAAATTGGTATAAGTCACGCAACTAGCCTTGGCTAGGTCGAAGGGGTGCCTTGGATTTTTATCCTTGCCTTCCCCTTCGTCAAATGTGACCCCCGATCCCTCTTTTGGTTACGTAGACCCAAAAGTTCTCTAAAAGGGTTTATTTACTTTTTTCATTCAAAAACAAAAATCATTTTTGGGTGACTTGGTACACCCTAACTCTATACCAAGTGGCGACTCCATTTTTCAAAAAAACCCTTTTTGAACTTTATATGGCCAAACCGTCGCTTTATCAAGTCCCATGGCCTTTATTTTCATTTTGCACACATTCACACCACACACATCATTCACTCATTCAAAAAGTGGGGCGCGACAATAGCTTTTTCAAAAGTGTTCAAACTCCTGTAAGGAAAACAAAAGGAATAGGGTGAGCTTACGCCCAGTGAGATACTATCACTCAAGCAACGAAGTTCATATAAGCATGAAGCCCTTCATTCCAATTCATTCAATAAGGAAGTAAGCTAAGATCACACATTAATAGAATTGGTAAAAGGATACGGACGGCTCTCAGGAGCCCCTTTCCTCGCTTGCATACTTGATCGTACCTCATTAACCCTCCGTCAATGTTTAAAGAGTAACCAGACGTAGAATCTACTTTACTTCCATTCCTTCCACCTAACACACCCCAACCGGGCCCGAACTCCAAACAGTATAAATTTGGTAATACTCGAGTATACCGGAATCGAGAGTCTCATACTACAAGATTCCATATAACAGTTCCCATTGCTCGTCAATTTTCACGACCAAACCCTCGCTGGCTCGATTCAATCGACTACCAATGGGGTTGAGCTCAGTAGTAACAGTAATGGCCGTTGGATACTCGTCCAAACGACACCAAATTCAGTATATTCATATACTATTCAAGTAACACAGTAAACAGTCATGTAGGACATAAAGGGTGAGAGTGATCAAGTACACCCTCGCTTTAATCCATTTCAATGGTGTAAATAAACATTCAAGGCATCAATTTCAAGTGTAACAAAGCCACATAGTAACAAGCAAGTGAGTAGTACACTCACCAAGCAAGCAAATGAAATTTCATACACTTCCGCCCAAAGAGCGTCTTGAACCACCGTCACGCCCTAAAACATTCAAATAAGCACAATGAGACTCGATCACGAGTCATACATCCAAGCTACACATTATCAATGTAAAAGCGTAAAAACTTGCAAGTAATGTAAAAACACTTAGTGCTAAAGGTTGAGACAACACTAGGGTTACCATTTAACTTCCAAAGCACCTCAAGTCCATTAAACACAAGAACCCTCAATTTGGACAGCATTTTCCCTTAAAATTCCAAGTTTCCAACCTACAAATATTTCCCCATGCTTTCCAAACACAATCACCATTACCATTACAAGTCATAAACCCTTCAATACACCTTATTAGAGTCCCAAAGGTCTATAATCAAAGCCAATTCAATTGATATAAAGAAACCCTAGAAAAGCCCTAATTACAAACCCTAATTCTGAAATTTTTCTTTCAAAGCGGAAATTTCCGCAAATAGCCACCATTTACGCACTATAGTTTCATTCTAAACCATTTCCATCCATCATCCATGGCCAACCAATATTAAACATATAAAAACAGAAAAATCATGAATAAATAGAAAAATCCACCAATCTCAACCAAAAGTCATGAAATATCACTTAAAACTAGCTATTTAACTCACACAAGCTACCAATTGAACATTATTAAAATCAAAGGAAAGGTGTCTTGGTCACTTACCTTGCAAACTCAAGAAAGGAGACAACTTAGCACCTTGGTCTTCCAAACCACTTCACTAACAACCTCACAATCACTAGACTAAGGGTTTTTGTGGAGGAAATCCAAGTTTAATCGGTTGAACTAAGGGATTGAACAAGATTGGAGACAAGAAAATTGAGAGCTTTTCCTTTCTTTTCCCTTGAAGATGGCCGGCCAAGAAGCTTGCAAATGAAGATGATTTTTGGGTCAATTTTGATTAATTGGTAAAGTGGTGAATAGTGGTCAAAATCAAGATCAACTCACAAGGTGACACTTGTCACTCTCATTAATGCAAAGCTATCCTTTTGTCTCTCCAACTCTCATCAATTGGGTAACCTCTAATTATCTCTTAACACCTGGTAAAATAAACCCAGTATCCAAAACTTAAACTAATTGGTCGAATTTTACCGAACTTTTCGCACTAGCGGGTCCCACATCCGGTATACGCTCTTAATTTCTCAAAAACTAACCGATGCTAGAAAAATCATCTAAAAACTATATTTACTCATAAAATTTATCTAGAAAAATTTCCTAATAAAGAAAATGCAGAAAAGCATGCGATTAAATAGAATAAACCCTAGAAAATAAGAAAATTTACGGGGTCTCACACTTTCTAGAATCCTCTTTACTAGAATTTGAGAAAGAGAATGCCAAGGTTAAAAAAAATTGTCAAACTAGGCTTTTTAAGTCCACACAAAGGATAAGAAATGAGACAAGGGGACACTGATTAAAGTCGAATGAAAGAGGGATGGGGAACAAGATAAGAAAATGTCGATTATCCCATTACATTCAGTAACATATATGACATTCTCGTAATTTACTAGAGTCCCTGTCTAGCGTTATCTAATGACCATAATCCTTCTCTGAAGATCTAACCTTGGTTTCGTTTGATAAAACTGAATCTGAATTCTGAAGTTTGAATTCTGAAACAATTAATTTGCTGAATTTTAAGTATTGAAAAGAAATATATGAATGTTTTAATTTTAATGCTAAACCTATTTATATTTTTTGATAAATATTTATAATTGAATGCATAAAAAGTTTAATTTAACAATTTTGCCCTTATATCTTTTCATTCAAAAAAGAAATAGAACCTATGATTTAATTAGTTTAAAATTGTTAGGTATGAAAGTAATAATATTTATTTTTAAAACAAATTAATATAAAAGATGAAATATATTATATGAGGAGTATGGAGAAAAAATGAAAATCATTAAAAAGGGAGAAAAGAGAAACAGAAAACCGTTAGATAGAAAATATTAGGTTGTTTAATTAGATAAGAATTTTGAATATAATTAACACACAAGGGTAGATTTGGTAGATAAGATAAGATAGTTGAAGTAATTCTATTGATTCTTATCAGAATTAAGCATTCAGTTAGGATTCTTGTGTTGAAAAAAAATGCACACAACTTCAGCACTGCTTAACAAGTTCAGCAGATAGATTTTTATTTATCAAACACTCAAAACATCTAAATGTCAGAAAAGATTCAGTTTCAGCACTTTTTTAGATTATCAAACAGATCCTAAGAGTTTGAGTCATCTCATATGGTTCTTTCTAGGATCCTCCTTACTAGAATTTGAGAAAGAGAATGCCAAGGTTAAAAAATTTTGTCAAACTAGGCTTTTTAAGTCCACACAAAGGATAAAAAATGAGACAAGGGAACACTGATTAAAGTCGAATGAAAGAGGGATGGGGAACAAGATAAGAAAATGTCGATTATCCCATTACATTCAGTAACATATCTGACATTCTTGTAATTTACTAGAGTTCCTGTCTAGCGTTATCTAATGACCATAATCCTTCTCGGAAGATCTAACCTTGTCTTGACTCCTTCAAACAAACCTTGTTTTGACTTTAGATTAGTACATGTGATCACTGACAGTAAACCTTATTGGGGGCCTCATATTTTGAGCTCGATTTGAGCTTGGCCAATTACCGTAATTCTTTTCAAGCCACCTTAAACTTTGATTCGACATTAATAAATTTAGGGCTGGCATGACCATTTTTCTTGTCCTAAAATCGGAACGAATCTTTGGACTTGATATGAGTGGTGGTGAATGACTAGAATTTTCTCTGGGACTTCTTATTTTGACTAAACAAGATGCGAAATCCTTCTAGAATGGACCATTATTTTAACCTTCACGTGATTGTAGGGAACCTTTTCAGGCTTGGGACATTATCACTTATGACTATGAGGCCGTCTTCTCATTTTCTTAGTGCCGTCTCATTTTGTGACTCGAAAAATAGAAACATAAATAATATTCTCTTTTTTATTTTGGATAGTTACTTATTAGTTACCACATGCAGTATATACCATCTATTTACTGGAACTTATATTTATTTTCTCTTCTTTTAGAATTTATTTTGCCTATTTTAGTTTTAGTTTTCTAAAAAATTAAATTCAAAAATCTAATCAGACGTGCCAACCCAGAACTTATTAGACACATTCTCCATATAACACCACTTTTTTATATTGGATTTGGCTAACAGGATTAGAATTGGATCCAGTTTTATTTTTTGTAAAATTGAAATGAATAAAAAAAAGTGTTTAAATCCAGAGATGTAATGAAAAAAATTATAAATGTATTCAATCACATAATAATTTAATTAATCAAAATAAATTTTTTTATATTTTATATTGAGTTAATTTTTACCCTTTTCCTAAACATTTTTTCCCCAAAAGCGAAAAAAAATTAGAAAAAGGTAATATTCCAAAAAAAAAAGCTAAATTTGCATATTATTGACCCCGCAGGCCGACTGTGACTCACCTCCGGGTAACATATCATTTCATTTCTCCGCCAGCTCAATTCTTTATTAATTTCTTTTTTATTCTCACGCATTTCACGCGTGTGGGCGTGTATATATACTTCGTCTGTTCTCCTTTTCCCTAATTCAATTCTTCCTCCATTTTTTACGGCAAAGAAGAAAAGGATACATTTCTTTAGAAAATTCAGCGAAGTTGCTTGCAAGAAAAAGTTCTTTCGAATTCTATCTCGGTTCCATATCAAAACCACCCCCCGCTCCCCCCCTTTTTCCCGGGCGGGGAAAAATAATTCTTATACCCCAAACCCAAGCTGATTTTTGCTAGTTTTTCGGTTTTAAATTGATAAAAAAGGAAAGAGTTGTTTAGTATTAAACTTAACTCAAAAACCCAGTTGAATTTTGTTAAGAAACTGGCAATTGTTTAAAGATAGATAGATTGATTGAAGGGTGAATAATTGGAACAAATTGTTTGTTTCATATTTTTCCGGTGAGATACTCCGATGACGATCGAATCGTTGCCCGGAAGTTCAGGGTACTTGGACGTTGGGAACCGGAAAGTGACGTATTTTAGCAATTCATATGTGGTGGGCTTGACCGTTATTGCTGGTATTGGTGGTCTCCTTTTCGGATACGACACAGGTTTAGGCCATTGCCGACTTTCTCTTTTTTCTGTTCTGTTTTTGATTTTTGTGCTTTTTGTGTTTTTAAGTAGACGTCATCATCCCCTTCCTTCGGCTCATCACCGGCGGTCTCTGTCTCTCTGTTTTTTTTAAAATTTTTTTTTTCTGCTTTTATAATTCTGTTGAAGGTTTGAATGGGGCCCTGAGACGGCCGTTTTACTTGGATATGGATTGATATTGATACAATTAACTATAATTCGTTAATTATATCTTGGATTTTCTTTTTTTCTTTTAAAATTTTTTAATTAAGAAAGTTTATTTTCATACTTCCTGTTTTTATGACGTCCAAGCAAGTTCTGGGGATACTTTGGCTTTATCCTTGTTGCTGTAAATGCTGTTTCAAAATTTTTTTTTTCCCAAAAAGGAGGAGAAAAAGGGAAAAAAGCCAAAAAAATAAGTGCTTTTTCTTGTTATTTTTTTCAAAGAAATTTTGGATCTTCAGATCTGGTAGAGTTTACTGATTCTTTGAGCCAGGTAAAGTTTTTAACTCATTTTGCCGTTCTTGCGGAAAGGCAAGGCTATTGGTGGGCTTGGTGAAGTGTCATACCCATGATATATACCTCCTCAAGCCAGTAGTACTAAGTTTTTCTTCTGTTTTTGAACTTCAACGCCATTTGTTTTTGTAATTAGGCGTCATCACCAGCTTATCACTATTTTCCGGCTTATCACCGGCAGCCCCTTTTTTCTTTTGTGTTTCTTTGACTTAGTAGTTACAGTTGTAAATAACTTTTTTTTTTTTTTTAACTCTTGAAGGTCTGAATGGCCTGTGAAAACGCCTTTTCTTACTTGCATATGGATTGATATACATAAATTTTAAATTAAATTGATGAATTATGTCTTTGATTATTTTTCTTTCAATTAAAGAAAGTTGGTTTTCAAATTTTATGGTTATTATGATATTCAAGCAAGTTCTTGGCATATTTTGGCTTCATCCTTTTGACTGTTCAACTAAAATTTTACATTTTTTTATTCCTTGGTTGAACTCTAATCATCTTGTTGGAGTAGGTTATTTTACTGTTTGATTTGATACTCAATTTGGTTGTAGGCACAATAAAATTTCCATACATGTAGATCGTGTGTGTAAGATCAATTAAAGTCCTTTTATAACATTTTTCTGAGAAAAGGGAGGCTTTTTTTAAATAATAATTCTGGACCTTTAAGTCAGGTGGACTTTGCTGATCCTCGAGTCAGGTAAAGTTTCTAACTCATTTTGCCGTTCTTGTGAAAGGGCAAAGCTGTTGGTTGGTTTGGTGAAATGTCAGTATCAATGATGAATACCTCCTCAACCAGTAGTATTACTTTTTCTTTCTTGATTTTTGCCTCTGAAAAATTATAGTTGTTAACAGTGATCATGGTCAAAATATTAATGGAAAACAGTTATCATGGTCTTACACGCGCGCCCACACACACACACATGTATGTATATATGTATAGATATATATACAGATGTATATGTATGTGTATATAGGTCTTTAACCGGGGATAGATATATATACAGATGTATATGTATGTGTATATGTATGTTGTATATGTATACATATGTGCAGATACATACAATACACATACATATGTATAGATATATGTACATGTATTTGTATATGTATACATATGCACACACACACACACACACACACGTCTTTTTCCTGAAGTTCGTTACTAGGGTGCTTAACATCACTACTAGATTTATAGGTATTGGCTATGATTCTTATGTTTCCCTTCACACTAGCTGTTACAGCGTGTTTCATTCCTGACAGTTGCATTTTTGCATTATAGAAATCTACGTGGAACAATTGCAGTTATATTTTTATTTCCTATTTGATGCAAATTGAAACTAGTCTGAATTTGGTTGCAGGAGTAATATCAGGAGCGCTCTTGTATATTCGAGATGAATTTAAGCAAGTGGACCAAAGTAGTTTCCTACAGGTAAATAAAGGTTTAGTGTTTGATACGTGTGGATACAGTTTCTGCAGATTGAAAGTAAAACGGATTGCAGAGGCTTGTAACTTAGATGATACATCTTGATACCGAGTATATGATGATGTTATTTCATGGTCTATTTTGGATACACATGCACACACAGAGAAAGGGAGATATGTAGAGGTAACATCTGAAGTAAAACCTACCAATAATGTTATCCTGCAAGGTTGAAGAAAACATGTAACAACTATCAACGTTTCCGTGGCTTGGTCTGTTAGTATGGTTGGTTTCCTTAAATTATGTTGAAAGGGCATCAACTTTTGTTAACAACCTGCCATCCAGATAGGTCGACTTTTGAACTAATTTTTCAATACCTGGAAAATTTATTTTGCCGAAGAGTAATGCAAATTTGAATGCTTAAAAATTAGGCCTGATATTGCTGCTGAAGTTATCTTTTCGATTTTCTCTCCTAACATAGAGAAACTGGCAGATTTTCAATTGCACGTTTGTTCTCTTTTCTGTATTTGGCAGGAAACAATTGTTAGCATGGCTTTGTGTGGTGCAATGATAGGAGCTGCTACTGGGGGATGGATAAATGATGCTTATGGCCGCAAGAAAGCTACTCTTTCTGCCGATGTTGTATTTGTACTTGGGTCTATTGTTATGGCTGTAGCTCCAGATCCCTATGTCCTAATATTGGGTAGATTTTTAGTGGGTTTGGGTGTGGGTGTGGCATCTGTTACTGCTCCTGTGTACATTGCTGAAGCATCCCCATCTGAGATAAGAGGTGGCCTTGTGAGTACAAATGTGCTTATGATTACCGGTGGATCATTTCTTTCCTACCTAGTGAATCTTGCTTTCACTGAGGTCAGTTATCTTGGCTTGGTTTTTTCCAAATTATTGTTCTGATTTCTTCTTTTTCTACTAAGGCTCGCAATATCTATTTACCAAGATGGTAATAGGTATTATTGCGTTTTGCCAGACTAATGCGCTGCGTTTCTAATTTGTCATGCATGTTGTTAAGCCTGAAAGAGGTAATTTTGCCAAGCAATGAACTTTGTATCAAAAGATTTTTAGAAAACAGAACGAGTTCTAAAGAGATTCTGCAGTTTGTTAAATTGGCAGTTTTCTGCCCCATTTTGAGTACTACATGTTTAAGGTATAAGTGTTTTGTGCTCCTTTTAAATTGGTTTCATCTTGTTTAAAACAGAAGTTTTTTTGGTTTCAAATATGAAATTATTGTAGTTCGTTAAGTGGGTCGACTCCTTTATTAAGTGGCAGAGGATTCTGAAAGTGTTTGGTTTTACTTTTCAGTTAAACATCTTGGTTTGGGAGGGAGTTATGTGATTATTAATGCTTTAGGTCTGAAGTTCATCAAAAGCTTGTATCATTCATCAACTTTGATGCAGCAAATGCCTGGTGGAATCTTCTTTTTAAACTGAACTAATCAAATAGTGAATGCAAAAACATCTCTTTTTTCCTGTTCTGTTCTTTTGCTCACATTGAGGTGGTCTACAACCTATTACAAGGTATCAGATTGTTTGCTTTACCAGGATATGCATTATATTTGTGCTTATTACAATGATTTCTTGGCATGAAAGGTTTTCCATTGTGCAGTTTGAGGAGGCAGGATCGGGATACAATATGAGCCTTGCCTTATAAGTCTCACAATGTGTATCCATGGAAGGAATCTTTTCTTTTCTTCTCGTCTATCTTGCGTTTGGTTAATTTAATGCTGTGATCTTGCAGTTGATTGATTTAATGTATTTATGATTTTGGAAAGTACCTTACACAATATGTCTAGCATATGCAATGCAGCACTTGGAATTGCTTGCGTCAAAGTCCAGCAGTTGCATCTGCTTGCATCAGATGAACCATTGATACTTCTGTTTGCGTATGGTATAAAGAATGATGATTTGAATACAGATTTTGGGGTTTTATTGACTGAGTTCTATTTGATTGATATAAATGATTCTGCATGACTCCTTAAACCATCCCTGAACATATAGAGTTTTTATCACTGTTCCTGTTATCAGTCTGTAAACATGTATTTTATGCGATCTCTAAATGGTTATAGAAACCATATGTACTTGGAAACATGACCAGTTTCTGCTCTTAGTTATATGATACCAGTGTGTTTGTTGGATAATAGCCGCACCATATGATGTTACCTAGTAAAATGAAGTGTAGATACTGGCAGCTGGGCAGCTGGACAACGACCATTGTAGACTGAAACAACTTTATTTCTCTTTATGTTGTCTCATCTCATTTGTAGCTAGAAAGGTTAAAACCGAAGCTAAGTAATTGTCCTTTGATTTGGGCATTTTATGTGGTTGAATAGGCTGTGGTTTGAAATTTTCCATTATTACACATTAATTTTCTGAGAGTCAGATAGTAGCATTCTGTGTGACCTCATGTTTTGTAGTTAAATTATTGTTTTTATTTATTTAAGTTGGCATTCTCCAACTTATGTAGTTGTATGTAAAGCTAGTTTCCGTGCACTGAAACTGTCAACTCGCCCTTTCTTTCTTTCTTTTTGTTAGGTCTTCTTCAATGTATTCTTTAGGTTTCTCAATCGTATTAATGGGCCTTTTTTGATGCCAAAATTGGACACCTGTCCTAGTCTTTAACTTTCACATTTTCTTGGACAAATTTTGCTATAAAATTTGGCAGATCAGTTGAATGCATCTGTGGCATTGTGGCAAGATTTGCTTCTTTTAGGCAAGTGTTTGCAAGACTAATTCTGGACCAATCTTTATCTTGCCTCTGTAATCTGATAGACTTCAAGTGGCTCACCATGGATTTTGACGTTAACTTCATATGATGGACATGGTATTATTGGGACATCTTAGCTTTATTCTCTAAATGAAACTTGTTATTCTGGTGGTATGATATTCTGAGGATGTTTGTGGTGATGTCCACGTTCAAATAGTAGTTGAGGACTAGAATAATATACTGCCTTAACTTTCTGGTGTTTTGGGGTCACCAGTCCTCTGGAAGAATTTTAAGAAAAGGGGATCACATGAAAGGAAGTTCAATGATATGGTCTTCCAGAAAATTGATCGGTCTGCTTGGTTTTAGTCAGTTGTTGGTTCATAACTACTCCTAGTTTGTGGGCTTGCAGTAATATTTGACATTGGTTCTACATTCATGTATGTCAGTAGTTCTTGATACGTTTTGTGTGATCTTCTGATTTTAAAAATTGGGCAGGTCCGAGGAACATGGCGATGGATGCTTGGAGTATCTGGAGTTCCTGCTGTTATACAGTTTTTTCTCATGCTATTTTTGCCTGAATCTCCTCGCTGGCTTTACCTCAAGGTGCGCTGTATTAACATAGTATTTCCTGTGAGGATGTATTCTACTGATGCTTTACATCCTAATTAAGGACTCATTTATAATCTGCAGAAGGATAAATCTAAAGCCATTGCTGTGCTTTCAAAAATTTATGATCCTGACCGGTTGGAGGAGGAAATTGATCAGCTTGCAGCTGCTTTTGACGAAGAAACCAATAGAAGAAACACTGTCGGATATTGGGATGTTTTCAAATCAAAAGAAATGAGGCTTGCTTTTCTTGCTGGAGCTGGACTTCAGGTAAATATCAACACTTCACTAGAACACAACTCTGTGCTGGGCTTTTTTTTTTCTTTCTTTCTGGGGCCTTTCGTTAATGTTCTGTTCTTGTTTTACTGCTGTAAATCCTAAGGAAAAGGGGTGGAAAAATCCACCCCCAGGGGGGGAGGGATGTAGGGGTTGTTTGTTGAAATGTCACTTTTTCAAACTTACAAGTCTTGTGTTCTACTTTCAAGGATAAAAAGGAAATTCAGCAATTGAATATGTATTTTAAGTCAATAAAATACCCAAGCTCTCAGCTTTGACCTGTCTTCTCCCCATTTCTTTTGTTTTCCTTCCTTTTCTTCAATATCTTCTTCTTGTGGATAGGAAATCGGTTTCTTGGTGGCTTTCATTCAACTGGTATACTTTACCACTTCTCCTCCTAATAAGATGTTGATTTCCTTTGTTTATGTTCTACCTCTCAGTACATGAAGTCTCAACCTTGTAAGAAGAGTCCAACTTGTCCAACTGTTTTCTTCTTCCTTTATCTCTGCCTTATTTGAGAAAGCTTAGAGATCACAGAAAGAATGCCTTTGGTTTAACATTGTGTTGTGAGCAAGTTTTAAGAGAAAAGAACATTCGACTTTCCACAGGTTGAAGTTGTAAAGGATAATCATGTCTGAGTTAATTCTGGCTAGTACCTTTTTCCTCAGGTTAAGGCACTTTGTTACTTCTAGTCTTATTCTTCTAATTTATGATGGAAGAAAATCGTGATTTTCTTGTATGACCAAAAAAAGGTCAGTTGCTATAATAGAGATACGCCCACACATTTTAAAGACCCAAAAGAGGGAAAAAGAAAGAATTGGGGGTATAAAAGGAAATTCATGGTTCATATTGCAAGAATCCAGAATTCTGGAGCTCTAGATTGAGACTCTGATTGGTCCTTTTCTGAGGTTGAAAATTGTAACGTCCTTGTATTGGAATTTCTGTTCTCTTAATGGCTTCTGGTATTACAAGAATAAACTAATTGCAAGAGCTTAGTATGTTTTATCATCTATTTCTGGTTATGCAACCAGTGAACTCATAATTAATGCTGAGATTAATTGAAGTATTTGATTCTATGCAGATTATTTTCCCTTGCTTGCCTAGAGCTTTGACTATTTTTTTCAAATTTTGTAAGAGCAATATAAATTTTCAGATTAAATATATAGCTTGATGAATGGTCTAGTCTCTTTCCTTTCGATAGTTTTTTGTGCTATTAATTTATCATCAGAGAACGTATTAAGAGTATTTTGACTAATAATTAGATGCCATGTTATGTTGTTTGATGACTCTGTTTGATAAAACACAGTGCTTGATAAGTTTGGGCATTTAAAATTGTCATTTAGGTTGTGGCTAGCTAATTTTTGCTTACAAGCAGACTGCTGCAATTGACTGACCGTTGATGTAATTTCATTTTGCAGGCATTTCAGCAGTTTACAGGTATTAACACGGTCATGTATTACAGCCCTACAATCATGCAGATGGCTGGTTTCCATTCGAATCAATTAGCACTTCTCCTCTCCCTCTTTGCGGCAGCAATGAATGCTATTGGTACAATCGTGGGAATTTACCTCATTGATCATGTTGGCCGCCGGAAGTTGGCTCTTAGTAGCTTAGCAGGAGTGTTTCTGTCCCTTGTTCTTCTTGCTGGTGCTTTTCTCTTACAAACATCTTCACATGCGACTGGGCTCTATGGGTGGCTTGCTGTTATTGGCGTGGTGCTCTACATTGCCTTTTTCGCTCCTGGCATGGGCCCTGTGCCATGGACTGTAAATTCAGAGATATATCCAGAATCCTACCGAGGAATTTGTGGTGGCATGTCTGCCACTGTGAACTGGATTTCGAATCTGATAGTAGCACAAAGTTTTCTATCCATAACTGGAGCTTTAGGTACTGGTCCAACTTTCTTGATCTTAGCTGGTATCACAGTGCTTGCTTTTGCTTTTGTGATTGTTTTCGTGCCAGAGACCAAGGGTTTGACATTTGAAGAAGTGGAAAGAATCTGGAAGGAAAGGGCTTGGGGAAGTAGTAATAGCAGAGAACCACTTCTTGCACCTGGAGACCAAGCCTGAAGTACGCTGTTATTTACTTTTCCCTTGTGACCTGCTGTATATAGGGTTATCACGGTGGTTTTATATCTAAGCACGTACTGTGATTTTTAGCTGGAAATTCTTTCAGAACTTGAGCATTTGAAAAGGAAGTTCCTTGTCCAGGGGGGAAGTCCTCCGGTTGGGCTGTGGTCTGAACTTGCCAGGCTTAAGACTTCCCCAGAGATGTTTAGAGCTGGAGAGAGATGAATATAATACTTCTTATGGTGTGTTATTATTATTATTTTTTTTAAATTTGCAGTCATTCTTGAGTAGTTCATATTAGTATGTTTAGTTGAATTATAAAATTTAGTGTTCAAAGACATGTATCAATGTGTGTGCAACAAATAGAAAAAATATTTGTAAAATTTTTTTGAGTATGTATGTTGAAATTATTTTGTGGAGAATTGGTTTTTATATTTGACAATAAAAATGTAGAAAAAATCACGAGCTCTAGGGAAGGTGGTTAAATTCCTTCCTCGCTGACTGGTCAGGGATTCGATTCCATATGGTCGTTCAGTTGGAGTTGCAGGGAATTGGGGAGGGGCGGGAGGAGACAAAGTTATATATATATATATATAAATATATATATATATATGTGTCTATATTGGCCTTTCACTGCTTTGATTCAGGCTTTGTTCTAACCAGCTGTGTCTTGTCAAATATTTGTTATAGGATAAATTGCATCTTTACACCATATGTGTTTTTGACCAAAATAATGAATAAATTTTAAAAAATAAATTGAATTTCTTGATTATTGGTGTTTTCTATTATGTGCCCTTAGGGCGTGAGATAAACAGACAAAATACAAGGGGTAGATACACTTCAAATTTTAAACATTAAACGTTATCATCTATATCAAATTTAGAAAATTTTAATGAAAAAATTTTAAACTTTTTTCGAATAATTAGCACCTTGATCCATCTCTTGTCAATTGCCCTAAAGATATGGAATAGAATAACCCTTGATTATGATGCCATTATCTACATGAAAATGAATACTACATTCCATATATATTGAAGCAAAAAGATAGAGATGGCAATTTGTTCCAAGTTCCAATAGGCTATTCATGCTCAAGGGACTTTGGGTTGGATGAATATTTTAATTTTGAGATTGAGTTTGAAATAGGACTAATCTCATTTATGCATGTCAATGGATCTAATCTTATTCAGATCTAACTCAGATCTAATGTACTTAGATAGAGTTTGAATTTAATTTCTCAAATCCAAATTTCACCCAGACCAAGACCCTGTAAAAGAATTATGGGTATGGATATGGTCTAATTTTCTATGATTCATATTCAAATTCAAACCTATATCAGACTCTACTCAGATCCATGTATGTATAATTAATTTAATATATATATATTTGTAAGTAAATTTATAAAATATTCTAATATCTATGGTCACTGGATCGAATATAGTTAGACTTCATGATTGTTTTCTTTTTCAAGCTAATCCTAGTTGTCGTTGTAATTAGTATAAGCTTTTTCAGAAAAAGGACATAAAGTAAAGGCAAATAAATGAAAGATTGGATGTAGATATAGTTAAAGTTTTAAAAATAAAGTGAAATAGTCGATAATAGTTATTTTTTGAGTTCATAATATTGCATTCAATTTCTTGAATATTAATTTTATTCTTTGAAAATAAAAATTAGATGGTGTTTATATTTTTTGAAATCTATATATTTTTAACATATATTTTACTTTAGTGTATTTAGAAAAAGGGAGAATGAGACCAATTGTCCCTCACATATCGCTGATGTGAAAATTTAGTCCCTTAAAACGAAAATGATTAGTTTTAGTCCTTAACAAACAAAAAATGATCACATTTAGTCCATTCTTACATTTCCCAGCAGATTTTGATCAGAACTTACTGGGCCCCCATGATGTGCCCAATTTTTAAAGGGTAGGAATGACAAACCACCTTGACTAGAAATGTGAGGGGACTAATAGTGCAAAGCCATATTTAAACATTCATCAAAAAATACATAACTAACCCACCATTACTAACAATTCATCTCAGGGAAAAATGCACTTTTCATCCTCAAAGTTTACGGGGTTGACCAATTTCATCCTCAATGTTTAACCCCAAACAAATTTCATCCTCAAAGTTCCGTAATTTTGACCAATTAAGGACAATTGACGGGAATTGGAGGACAAATCAAATATTGGGACGGAACTTTGCACGTGAGAAGCACAATTCGTCAGATCCAACTTTATACCCAACATAACCGGGTCAAACCGAATGGATCCACTTTTTCTAACGGACAAAAAACACAAAATAGCACAAGGAAAAAAGCTCCTGTCTTCTCCTTCTTTCTTCTCCGTTCTCAGCCCTAAAAATTTTTTTTGCCAATCGTTTCATCCATTTTTCGAGCATCTGCTGGCAAGAAGGAAGGCATAGACGGCATCCGTGGAACATTTTAGGTGAAGAAAAAAATGGCATTGCGGAAGAAAGAGCTCCACATTTGTCCACCTCCAAATTACGGTATTTATACCCAAAATCAACAACTACATTGCATAAAGATATCTGTTTTTTTGGAGAAGGAAACCTGATATGTGGTCCCTTGTGTTTGTACTTTTTCCCCACTACAATTTACGGCTATTTTTTTTCCAGATCTGGCCATTTGCATGAGGTATAAATAAATCCAAAAATTTGTCTTGGTTTGATTATTATAGTGTGAATGTGGTCCCTTATGTCTGATGATAGTTGCCGCTTGACTATAAATTTGTGATGAGAGTGATTAATAAACAATAACACTTGGTATATTTTGCCGGCCATGTGTATCTGACCATGTGTATGGAAAAAGTGCAAGTGGTCCTTGTTTGGTAGTTTTTGTGTGGGTCAACAGTTTGTTGTGCTGAAATGATGAAGCTTTTTTTTTTCCTAAAGAGTCTGATCTATATTATTTTCTTTAACCAGAAACGGGCAGCACATTTATTACATTAAGATGTCACCATGGAGGCCTCATTTCATATACTCCTGATCCCCATTACGAAGGTGGAGATTTGTGTGTTTTTGACTATGTTGAGAGTATAGGTCTAAGTGTTTTCGAAGTGGATAGATTAACTGAGAGTGCTGGTCTATATGGTCATAAGGTGTACTATGGTTGGGAAAATAACACCTTTAGGAGGATAGAAAGCAGTAGGGAGTTGAATGGTTATGTTAAGGGGGAGGTTGGGCCAACTAAGGAAGTTAACTTATATCTTGAAGTATCTTTTCATGAAATTCTAGTGCAACAACTTGGTTATGATCCGTATGAGGTAGATGAGACAGAAAATGAACTCCAAAATGGTGATGGTAACAATAATATTAGGGATGAAGGGCAAGGAAGGTGTGCTGCTAATAATTGTGATAATGATTCCAACGCAAGTGATGAGACTTTTTTTTCAGCTATTGATTCAGATTATGAAATAGGCGATGATGCTGATGATGGTATATTTCATGATAATGTTGACAAAAATGCTGAATGGTTGGGAGTAGACAATCACAGGAAAGAAAATGTGGTTCCTGATCCTTTGAATGAAACAGAGAAGGTTCCTGATTCTGATGAAACAGAACAGGTTCCTGATTCTGAATCTGATTTTGAAAGCATTCATGAGTCTGATGATGAAGAGTCTAAATTGAGGTCTCGTACTTTTGATCCTAAGCATATTGACAATCCAAAATTAGAGCTGTACATGTCCTTTACAAGTCTGAAACTTTTCAAGACTGCTGTACATAATTATAGTGTGAAACAAGGCAGGCCTTGTAAGTTTGTGAAACAAGATAGAGTGAGGGTGAGGGCTAGATGCAGAAATAGTGAATGTAATTGGGTTATATATGCTAGAAAATTAAGTGGGGATGGAACTATTCAAATAAGAACATTTGAAGATAATCACACATGTGGTTTTACATATGATAACCCTCTTGTGCATTCTGGATGGGTAGCTAAGAAGTACTGTGAAGAGTTTAGGTGTAATCCTAAATTAGATTTGGAGCATTTTAGGAAGACAGTAATGAAAGAAAATAGGTGCTCCTTCACAAAAAATCAAACATATAGGACAAGGAGAAAAGCAATGAAAATTGTTCAGGGCAGTGAAAAAGACCAGTACAGCAAATTAGGAGTTTATATGCATGAAATTCTAAGATCCAACCCTGGTAGCACTGTTATAATGAAAACTGTTGATGGTTTTAGAGACTCAAAAACAGGGAAAGGCAGATTTGAGAGGCTGTACATCTGTTTTGCTGGAGTGAAGCATGGTTTCCTAACTGGATGTAGGCAGTTTATTGGAGTAGATGGTACTTTTTTGAAAGGATCAATAGGAGGAGTTTTGCTAGCAATTGTTGGAGCTGATGCCAATAATGGCATTTTTCCAATAGCATATGCTGCAGCAGAGGGTGAAAGTAAGGACTCATGGTGCTGGTTCTTCAAACTATTGAAAGAAGATTTGAAGATTGAAAAGGATTATGAGTGGACAATAATGAGTGACAAACAAAAAGGTCTAATTGAAGCACGTGATATGATTTTTCCAAATGCAGCCCACAGATTTTGTGTGAAACACTTGCACAATAACTTTTCATCTGCTGGGTTCAAAGGAGAAGGTTTGAGGAGAGCGTTATGGACTGTTGCCAAAGCAACAACACCAGCCCAATTCAATAGCAGAATGGAAGCAATGGCTGAAATTGATATAGAGGCAGCCAAGTGGTTTGATGACAAACCACCAAGTCAATGGAGCAGAGCTTATTTTAGCACTCATCCTAAATGTGCTATGTTATTGAATAACATCTGTGAGTGCTTCAACAGTAAAATTCTTGATGCTAGGGAGAAGCCAATAATTGAGATGTTTGAAGCAATACGGTTGTACATGATGCAGAGAATGCAAAAAAATAGGGATCTGGCCAAAGAGAAGTGGCAGAGAGCAACCAAGGAATCTTCTTCCCGGATTCTCGCCGCGCCAACAGGTGTTCATTTTTGTTCTTAACCCACAGTTGCAGAATGGAGTCGATGAACCACTGGAGACTTCAGAACTTCTGCTCCTCATTTAGGCAAAAATGAGAGCACAGGGAGCTCCACTGCCAGATGCTCTGAGGATGAAATGTTTAAAGCTGCAAAGATTGGCAAAAAAATTTTGGAGTTCAAAGGCAGAGGGAAAAAGGACAACAATGGAGCTTTTCATCCGTCCGTTGCATTTGTTCCTTTAAAGTTAGCTCCATTCGGTTTTACCCATTTTTTGTTGGGTAAAACCGTTGGTTGTAACGGTCAATTGGATATTTCCCGTCAATTGTCCTTAATTGGTCAAAATTACGGAACTTTGAGGATGAAATGTGTTTGGAGTTAAACATTGAGGATGAAATTGGTCAACCCCGCAAACTTTGAGGATGAAAAGTGCATTTTTCCCATTCATCTCAACCTAAAACAACCC